TGCGGGTTGTTCGTCAACCTATCGTATATATATATATATATATTACATTAGCTGTTCGTATAAAAAAATCTATTTTAGTATTTAATATAACAAGTTCAAATTTCTGATTTTTAATTAGCAAAAGGCTTAAAGGTGAAAAATATAACATTAAATCAAATTAATATCAATTGTATTAAAGTTTTTGCCTTGTTTGGGCTCTTTACATAGTGAAAATGACCAAGAATTTAGTCTAGAATAAACATAATCATTGGCAAGATATTTTTTCAATCTAATTTTCAGACAAATGTTTATTAAAAATGTGCAAATAAAAAGCAGGAGTTAAACCTTTTGCTTTCAAGTACAGTACTCGCTCCCAGCTGCTTTCATCAAACTGGAAGGTTAAGGACAACTGAAACTACAACAGAGTTGTAAAAAAAAAAGCAACAAAACAAATTTTAAATTAACAATACACATTTTAGCACATGAAACATTTAAAATGAGTTTAAAAAAACGTTTTGCATGGCAACCTATGAGATCAACAGTCAGAGTGATTCGGAGATTCGGACTTCACATCGAACACCAAACCGTTCTTGTAGATCAACATGGCAAGTTCATTTTCCACCTGCTCGAGTTCTGTCATCTTTGTTTCCCTCAGTGTCGGATCTGTTGAGTCCAGACTTGAACACTCATCATCGGATCCGGCTGAGTCACTCCTCTCAGCCTCCAAATGCTCATTGGTCCTGTCGTCCCATTCCCTAAAAGAGGTTTCTTCTGAAACCGACTTCTGCTCTGCAACAATCTGGTGCAGTGTGAGCTCATGCACTTCCTCTTTTCTCTCCCACATCTCCTGCTGTGAGCAGAAGAAAACTTAATTCAAGGGTCTGAGGGGGAGGGGGCGGGAGTAAATTACTGAGAAAAATCTCAACTTTTTGTTAAATAAATAATTTGTGATGTGGAATATTTGGAAGTGGGATGTTGGTCATTTGTAATAAAGTGCAAAAGAATCAAAACGAGCAATTTTTAAAGAAACAGTCGTAAAATAGCCAAATGAATGAATGAATGGTAAAAAGGTATTCACATCAAAAACAACCCTGGAGATAAATGTCAAGACAAGGAATCTAAATTTAAATTTGACACACTAGCACTGACATCTCCTCGTGCATTTATAAATAAGATGTTTTCAAATTGTTTTATAATTAACAAATTATACAACTCAAATACTTGTGGTTTTCTCAGTTTTCTATTTCTAAATTCATCCAGTAGATATATGACATGTGTGAATTATTAATTTTGGTCTCTGAAACATCTCATCCTTAAAAATAGAGATAAAATTGATGTAATGACCGATCGCACGATTACTGTTTACAGTTATTTACAGTTTACTGTCATTGATCATGTGCTCTAACACATAATTCTGCTTTATGGTCAAATTAAAGGTCTGTGGTTCTTTCACATCACCTTTCAACAGATGTGTCTTCAACTTTTCTCCATTTTATCTTCCTCAGTGATTAAAAATAAAGTTATAAAGTCTTTAAATGGCAGTATCAGTCTTACATCTCTCAGGTACAAATGTAAAGCTGCATCTGAATTATAAATACTATGGTGGCCGACAGGCGCAAACGCGCAGCAAACACATGTATGATGCAAACTCAAAAGCACGCAAACACAAAAAAAACCCAAAAGCAAACCAAAAAAACACATGCAAACACAAACAAACCAATGCAAACACACACACACACAAAAAAAACCAAAAACACATGCAAACTCTAAAAACAAATGCAAACATAAAAATGCATGCATGTTTTTGAGTTTGCATCATACATGTGTTTGCTCTAGGGATGCACCGATCCACTTTTTTTTAAACTTCCGATCTGATCCCGATACCTAAATCTTGATATCGGCCGATACCGATACCGTTCCGATATCATCATCATTACTGATTTTATATGAGGCTGTAATAATCTCCTCTCAAGTACAATTTGTACAAATATATGCATGTATGTCCAAAAAGGCAACTTGCGGTAAGTTTTACTGCATTTTTGGCTGTCGGCCACTGTAAAATACAGATGCTGTTTTGTGGTGAAAGCCTTTCTAACAAGTCTCTATCTTCAATTACTTTTCTTCCCAGCAACACACTCTAGTCTAGTTTATTTGGGGGGGGGGGGGGGGGGGGGG